TAATTTGGGTAGCTAAGTACGTTTAAGAAGGTGTTCACTATAGAATACAAATAAGAGAGAAAAATAATAGAGCCAAAAATATGTTATTAACAAGAAAGCAAGCCATAGGTTTCACGCTTAACATTGTCTCTGTCACTTAGAACACGGGCCAAATATGGTATCGTTGAGTTTCTATACTTGGTTGTACGAGCATATATTATTTTGTACTGATTTCTGGTTCTACCTGATGAGATGCAAGGAGAGAGTTGGGAATAGAGGGGGTGCTGGGGGTCAGAGAGTATGGTTTTAGACCATTTCTCGCATGTATTCAGATGCTTATCCACTAATGTAGTGACCAGCTGACTGAGTTTTACACCACTAGTCCTACTAACTACCTTCAACATCCTTCTCAGGATGGTATAGTCCTTTTTCAGTAGCCCAGGAAAGACTAATGGGGAGCAGTAAAGTAGAATAGGTAGGATACGAGAGTTGACAAATTGTAAAAGTAGAGGTTCGGTGATTCCAGATAGTCTAAGTTTCTTAATGTAGTAGGTTAGACGGAACCTACTAGTGTAGTGTATGTAGTATTCTTACAAAAGTAGACTAATTTTGAAAGTCTGGGGTCAAATTTTGATCGCAGTTCATACCATTTTTATTTTGTTTATTATACCTGTTTCATGATTCATATGACAGGACAAACAACTTAAAGACAAGAGGATGTCCTTTTATATATAAACATACAATTTTGTTTATTATGCATATTAATGCCTGTTTCATGAATAATGATTGGACAAAGTTTCAAAAACAAGAGATGTTCCTTTTATATATAAACCTTTGTTATGTTAGTTAATTTCGATTAATTTCCCTGAAGAAGTTCGGACCAGACTGGTGAACACAGGAAACGTTGAAATGAATCATTTTAATTTCTCTGAGATTTTACAAGTATAATTTTTTTTTAATTTAATAATTTACATTGTAACATTGAGAACATAATATTCAAAGAAGAGACTCCTTTACATTCCCAGTAGAACATAGGGCTTCAAACAAGAGCTATGAAATTTCATTAGCAGTGATATTTGTTTATTTTTACGGGATGGGGTTGCTAACCTCATTCATGTCCAACCTTTCCTCTCTACCAGTCTTATTCACACGAGGTAAAGGAGTGCGTCGGCCGAGTCAGATTGAATCATTATCCAAAATATTTAAAATATTCCCAGAGCGTTTAAGCATAAAGTCAAAACAAGATTTTTCTGAACATCTCGCTGTGTTAGCCACAGCTTCTTCACCTATTGATGGCTAATAAAATCCGAATAAGATTTTTAGCGAACAATTGTGGTTTCGATAACTTCTTCTTCTTCAGGCTCTACAGTTATAAATTCATGAATAATAGAGTACATATAGCCAGCCAATAAAGGCAAATAAAAATAATATCAGAAGCTGTATTGGGGTGCATGTGTAAGTTGAGATGATAGTCCATTAGTTAGCATAGTCAATTTAATGTGTATAGGGTGTATAGTCAGTCAGGAAAAATGTGATGCAGTGTGAATGAACAATTTGGGTGATATAGTGTTGTTTTATAGTTAACAGAATACAAGTGTCCTTGGGGTGAGAAAATGCGATAACCACAAAATACATACAAACACACTTTAACAAAGGGGAGGCACTGAATGTGAGGGCTGGCCGATAATGTCTAATGATAAAATAAAGAGGTTAAATTGTAATAAAATGCTACAGAATTGGTAGGCTTAGTAGAAAATCATAAAGGTTGACAAATATAAGGGTAACAATGAGATGAAATAAACTGGGTGGAGAAATGAATAGTAAAGACATGATATCACAAAATGATAATAATAGCACGACAAATTATGATCCTGGTGACCCTATAGGGGGCTATTGTAAACACACACATTGACTATGCTAACTAACGGAATATCATTTCAGCTTACACATGCACCCCAATAAAAATTCTGATATTATTTTCATTTGCCTTTATTGGCTGGCTATATGTACTCTATTATTCATGGATTTATAACTGTAGAGTCTGAAGAAGAAGAAGTTATCGAAACCACAATTGTTCGCTCAAAATCTTGTTTTGATTTCAATATGGGGATTTTTTATTTACTAAAATCTGAATAATTTTGCTACTGAATAACAAGCTGTGGCTTACACAACGAGATATTCAGAAAAATCTTGTTTTGATTTTATGCTTAAACCTGTTGAGATTATTTTAAATAATTTATAATGGGTACATAACATGACGTGTTATTTGATAAGATAGAATTCAACATCGAGAGAAATATTTTTGGATTTAGAATGGCAAGTGGGACTGGTACGAATAATTCAAAGTGAGAATAATAATAATCGTAGTAATGAGGGGAACGTATATAGACTAACTGCATAAAAAAATAATCGAAATGCGTCGGTGGCACAGTGATTAGGACTGTCGCCGACCATGAAAATGGTCCGGGGTTCGATTCCCTGCCGACGCATACCTGATATCTATGGTTAGCCTGCAAAATTTGGGCTACCGATATCACATGCTGAAAATTCCATACTTGTGCTAAAAAATACGGTGTGGAATCAAACTGTAATAAAAAAAAAATGCTTATCCATCTCCAGCCAAGTCAGAAATAGGGATTGTACATTCCTTATAGAGCAGAGACGTCAGACAGTGTGGAATCAAGCTATAACCAAAAAATAAAGAAGAGTACTCAATCAGTTCGACATTAGAGTTTTCTTCAAAACATGAGATACACTATGAAACGACCTTGTCCACATAAAAGACCAAATCCCTGAAGATTCTCTATCTGATTGTGTCTATAAAATAAAATGCTTGCTTGGAATGTGATCCTATATACATCGTACAAACATCGCCAGAAAGAAATCAAAATCAGAGGAAATGAACACCGTATAGCATCTGTTCGACTACCAAGAAATCAAATTGAACTAGAAAAGCTTGAAGAATCATCAGCCATAGGTGGTGGTCTACACGTCATAGAATCAGGCCACAAAATTGATTTTGACAATATTGAAATAATCCAGAAAAAGCATTTCAGAAATCACAAAGAACGTCTAATATCATCAGAAGCACTTCATATCAAGTGGAATCCGAATTGTCTTAACTGAATAGGAATGATGGACTAAAACAGAATTTGACCTGGTTACAACACCTTCCTCCCCCATGAAGTGACAAAATCAACACGAATGTGATAAGCAAGTTCACTATGTAAACACACACTGCTCTTATAATGTTACACACTGATCAAATCCAACAGGCATCTACACTCGATTTTGTTATCCTTACCAGTTGACCAACTTGACAATGAAAAATGACCCAGACTGACGAACGATGATCAAATTAGCAAACTCTGTTTTGATACCATAACAGATGTACTATTTTCTTTGTTATTTGGTTAAGTGATCTTCATTGTTATTTTGACTTTCAGTATGTCCTTTTAAATTGACTTAAGTCCGTTTTCTTACCTCTTAACTCTTTGTTATATGTATATGCTGAGATTTTGTAAATTCCGGTTTAATAAAACTTTGATAAAGCTATGAACATTAAATAGCGAAACGTCGGTAAAAAAAAACATTATCGTTTTGTTTTTTCATTCACTGGGAAATACAAAAACCTTTATTATAATAATTGTACATACTCCTTTTTTCCTACACAAAGTTCTCACTTGAATTCATGAATCACTAAGGCCTCCGCTGTCTGTATAAATTTATAACAAAGAAAACGCGGCTGGCAAATTAGCATGAATTCGATAGATATCTTATATCTTATAATCATATTCACAGTTGGTAGAGTGACGGAAGTCAGTCACGTGTTCTAGAATAGAGCTTTGCACACCCTTGCTTTCCTATAAGAAAAAATCTGGAGTGATGGGTGGCTGAAATTGCTTAATTATGAATCCAAAACGCAGAGTTTGTCTAATATACAATACTATCTTGCACATATAAATATCAATACATCAAACAAATCTTAAATTGTGAGGTATCTAGGCTGTGTCCCGTCAAATGTCCTGCTGTGTAACGGTTGAAGACATTTTTTTATTTCAGCTTGATTCCACACTGTATTTTTGGTACAAGTATGGAATTTTCGACATGTGGTATTGGTAGCCCAAATTTTGCAGGCTGACCATAGATATCAGGTGTGCGTCGGCAGCGGATCGAACCTCGGACCATGCGTATGGTCGGCGAGAGTCCTAACCACTGTGCCACCGACGCACAAGAGACTTGGTAACAAAATGTGTATTTGGTATTTGATATCCCTATGCAGAGGTGTTGTGTACACCATAATTAGCTGGATTACTGGTTCATTTACTTTGTTGACGTCATATCTGTCGCTCTTCTATTTCATATTTTTATGCCGATGAAAGGCCTTTTACATACTACTGAAAAATCTTGTCAGTAGCACACACAAAACTGTCAAAAGTGATTCGCGTTCAGAAACAACGGTCAAAAGTGCAGATCTAGGATGAAGGCAGAGATTCGAATGAACAGTGTTCAACAGAAATTTACAATAAATACCGTTTAAAAATACATGAGAAGATGATTATTGTGTCAGATCAAATAGACTGTTTATACAATAAGTGAGATAAATTCTAATGGAAATCAATAACTATGGTTAAGAAGGAACAAAATGGTAAAACTATTAGCTCATACTACTTACTAGTAATAAGTAGTATAAGGTTGAACATAGGTAAAGAATAGATAATATGAGTATTACTATTATTATTCCCTTGGGTTCCTAGTGGAACATACGGCTTCAACAACACATATTCATTTTGTCCTATTGTTGCTGTCCTCTTCAGCTCACCCCACGATTGCCCGTAATCTCTTATCTCCTTCTAGCCACACAATTTCTATATCCCCCTCGCACTGTCGACCCACTCATCGCTTCCCAATCGTATATTTGAAAGGTAGATGAATGTATGCATTACACATTTAATTAGTTGATAGTAGTACATGATGTTTTATCATAGTTTTTCTTTAATTTTTTTTCTTGATAAATCCAGATTTATAAAGGTTATGTAGACGATCCACGGAATACAGACAATGCATGGATGGAGACAGTGGCAGTGAATTTTCATGATGAACAAGGCGATTCTTTAGCTTTGTTTCCTTTGACTGCAGGTAAGATGATGTTTGCGGTGAGTAAACTAACATGAGATAATACGCTAGTCAATCTGTATCTATCTGCATTCCATCGCATAGAACAGATCCTTTAAATCTTTGTAAATATATCTTCCATGGTGTTGTCGACTGGAAAGTGAGGAGCAGTTCACACCGCTGATGAACTCGGCCCTAGACCAGTGTTACGGCCCTCCAGTGTTCAGGTCACCTCAATCTGGCTAGGAAGCGCACTATTGGTTGGTGTGGGCGATATACGACTACTCATCCCAATCAATCAGTAGTATGTATATATGGTTGAATACTCAAAACTTCTGGCATAAATCGATGTCGTTTGAACATACATTGGGTTTAGAGTTCTAAGCTATAATATTGTAACGACAGAAGACAAGGGCTAGGCAACAGATCGTTTATTGAGAAAATCAACAGATATTTATAGATTTTTATGTACATTATTATTCGTTATTGCTAGCAGAGAAGCAACGTCTTCTAATTGGTTGTTTTCCTGCTGAAGATTATTCTGCCATGTCTTTGTTGCCGTTTCTTAGACAGTCCGGTGATATGTCTACGGCTCGTATCCGCCCACGCTAAGTCTGCTGTGATTGGTTGTTGAGTTCCTCAAGGTTAGGCTTTGTTCTTGTTTTTTTCTCCTGAACCCGATTCGGGATGTAAACATTGACATAAATTGTTGGCTACAATTTCTGACTTGCACAGAGCTCCACCACAATAACACTATTAGTGATCCCAGTAACTTAGTTAACATAATGAGTAATTGAGAAACATTTGTATCGACCAGTAGTACTTGCTATCCAAATGGATTGCAGGACTGCAAACACTGAGAAGCCGTTTTATTTATTTTGGGGTGAGCCTATGGACAGTGCATCCAGTTTGATGCAGAGTAGTAGAGAGAAGAATTACTCGAAAACTACCCAAATTTTGCTTATCTACGAGGGCTACTTTGATTCTTGGTTATATGCGACTCCAACAAGTTAGTTGGTATTTTTGTGTATAATTTAGGTATATTTAATCTATGCAAAAACTGCGATACAAGTTACAACTCCTGAGACAATAAAGTGCCTACCTAATAAGGACTGCACTGAAAAAAAACAGCATTTTTTTACGTAAATACAATACAATATGCTATGCTATTCTTTATATAATATATGCCTCTTAAAAACGACGATATTTGGAAAAGAATTTGAAGTTTGGGAATCATCGGCAGTACGCACCCACTGGGATTCAAATCCAGGATCTTCCGGTTACAAGTCAAGCTAGCTCGTACACCATTCAGCCACTAGGACCTGATTCAATGGCTCATGAATTCTAATATCCCTAAGTTGTCTACTGGAGCATGTTTGAAATTTAGACCTATTGCTATTACATCTCCTTTTCTAAAAGCTATGGAAAAGTTACTCTTACTTAATCTTCAACCTTCACTTAAAGCCTTTAACGATCCTAAACAATTCGCTTATAAACACAGCAGAAGTACTTTAGATGTAGTTGCAGTCTTGTACCACAACATTGTCTTCAGCTTAGACAAGGGGGATAAATTTGTTCACTGCACCTTCCTAGATTACACATCTGCTTTCGACTCAGTACCTAGGGACATTTTGTTAAACAAGCTGGCCGAAACTCAAACTGACTGTTGGGTTGTCAAATGGCTGCATTCTTATTTCTCAGGAAGAAAGCAGTACACTGTATGTCATGGAAAGTCGTCCACTCCTTTGCTTACTGAAGTTGGTGTCCCTCAAGGTGCTGTCCTTTCTCCTTTTCTGTTTTCTTTCTTTTTGCATGATTGGCCTCACTCTGATGAAATGAACTTTGTTAAGTATGCCGATGATCTAACTATTTCAACGTCTGTTAACTCCCAGCTTGACTGTGCTAAGATGAACAGCTCTCAATCAGGAATTAGCAAATGGTCTTCGTGTAACGGCCTTAAACTAAATCCTTCCAAATGCCAGACTGTCAATTTCAGTTTCTGATGTAAACGAAAGTTAGATGAAGCTGTTGGTTCCTATGACCCTTGCAAAATTGATGACACTGATATAGAAATCAAGTCTGAAGTTAAGTATCTTGGATTAATTCTTTCTTCTGACCTATCCTGGTCTTCCCATGTCTTAGCGATTTCTAAAAGAATATTTCGTCTGACTTTTTACATTAAGAAGTTAAGGCACTCAGGCATAACCCAACCACTTCTCTTACAGTTTGTCAACTTGCGTATTTTACCTATTCTACTTTACTGTTCACCCTTATCCTTTCCTGGATTGCTTAAAAAAGACTAACTGTCAGTAGGGTGAGCGCTATCCTATTGGGCCATATCGTTGACATTGTGATTGATAGGCACTCGATTTCATACAACAAATTTACTAAAGGAATTTTGTCAGACTCTGAGCACCCACTCTACCCCCAGCTCCAACCTTGTGTCTCCTCAGGAAAAACAAGGAGTCTTCTTAGAAGAATTTGCTCACGTACGTCTAAGTATAAAAATTCCACTATACCATATTTAGCACGTACTTTATGTGATGAAAATGGTGTCAGGCACGAACTAACTAACCTTCTTTGCACTACTAAATAAACCATTTCTTCCACCCTTACAGTACCAAACTTGATTGTTATTGTATTTCTTAAATTCATAATCCTATCAATTTTTGTTTTTATTTATTTTTCATAATTGTGAACATCAACAGAACATTAGATTCAATATTCTATAGTAACATACTAAAATTTTCAAACTGAATCGACAATACTGTTTGAAACAAACTCACTCTTATTATTATTATTGTTATTATTAATATTTAATGATCTCAATTCATGCTTAAAATATTTTTGACTTTATATCGTAAGCGTGGACAAATTCCTCTGGTTAATTTTTAATTTTATTTATATTTTGAGTAAATCAGATGCAATATTGTGACAAATGCTCAGAATTCCATTCTGTATTATAAGTACTGTTTTGGAATAAAGTAAAATAAATTATTATTACATAACTAACCCTTACAAACCAAACTATAGAAAATTAATCTGATACTCGCTGGTGACTTGCTACAGGATGGATTTTCAGTGAGAAGCTGTGACCAGTGAGGTCCAATTAGATGTCATGTGTGTGGATGGATGTCCCACCAACGACAATGGTTGGGGTCGCATTAAATCACGAATTGGTAGAAGTTATAATTCATGAGCTGGCCATTGAATCGGGTCCCAGTGGCTGAATGGTATACGAGCTTGCCTTCTTACCGGGAGGCCTTGGGTTCGAATCCCAGTGGGTGTGTACTGCCGATGTTTCCCAAACTACGATGAAACAGCTGTCCGGAACCCCCTGGTTTTCAATGGTTCTCTAACTGATATCAATCTTTGATCAACTCGTAAAAACATAACTAACCCTTAAAAACCAAACTATAGAGAATTTGAAGTACAAATAAAGGTAGATACGATACGAAGCCTCGAAAAGAATTTATGACTAACCAACAGTCATTGACTTCAAGGTTTGATCCAACGTTCTGGACTGACTGCTCTTAAAATTTATCAAACTTACTCATAATTCAACTAATCACTGTTACTTCAAGGCGGACGGTATAGCACGCACGAATACAGATGCGACACGTTATATATTATACTCAATAGTGACATGCATGTGATGATAATCAATCAGGGTTATTTTTTATGAGGGTTGATGATATTGCTTAATCATCCAAAACGTAGATGTCAGTGTGACTTCTATTGCTTTTACCGATATGGTTTTATTTCCACGTGACTTCAATTTTAGTCTTCATTGCATACGACAGTGCTACTGATGTGTAGAACGCCATCAGTGTGATATATCTTGCTTACAGGCTAACTCTGTTTAAAAGAGCGCATTCTTCTCCCCCCCCCCCCGCTATTTGCCTAGTCTACTTAAGTCACCTATTATATGTGTCCCTGCAAAAGGATCTCCGAACGAAATCTCAGTACGGATACAGAAGGCTAGTTAAGCATGTGCCAGTTTACGCCGTCTCTGGATTAGTAGACGTGATATCCAGCCGGCTATCGACCAAAGGGCGTGTGTACTGCTCGGCAGTACACTCCGTCCTCCTTTATGGCCAGCTATGAGACCTGGCCATTGAGAGTGAAAGACATGAAAAGCTTGCCTAGCTGTCTTTGATCATAGGTGCCTGCGCTCTATCTCCCGTGTGAAGTGGTATAATAAGGTGAGCGATATTGAGGTTAGGCATTGGTCGAGTTCCAGGTAAGGAGGAATTGGAAATCAGTCGACGAGGCTGTGAAATTACATCGACTGAGATGGTTAGGACATGTATTACGGATGCTTAGTCATCGCCTTCCTCGACAACAGGCAGTGTTAGCTGATATACGGTCAGGTTGGAAAAGAGCTAGCGGCGGTCATACCAAAACCAGAATGGCTTCACCAGTCAATGAAATCCTCAACAGTTAGTTTAAGCCATGTAGGAAGGTGTAGACTTCCTGACTGGTTGGGGTCCTCATGACGGTAAAAACCAATGGTTGGAAACAATTGGTGATATGGCTCAAAATCGTTCTCAATGACTGGCGCAAATGCATCCACTCCTTGTGATTTATAATTTCAAACGTAACAATATCGTTCTTCGTTATTACTATTCCTTTGTCTCACACCTCTGTTTACTATCTCTATTATGCATTTCTTCTCTTGCTTTGTGTGCTACATGGAAGGAGTGTGGCGACTTGAACTGGTGCACATCAGTGCAAAGTTCTATGTCGAAAACAGACAGTCCTTACAAAAGACCTGGCACGGCGAACTGTGAATAAACTTCGGTCTTCTCTAAATACCGTCAGGTGACTGCGAGTTCATCACAGCCGCTACCGAATAAGTCCTATTCACTGCCTTCACCCGGTGGGATTGTGTTCCTCATAAAATTAAAAAGGTGAATGCCAATGTGTAATGCTTATAATAACTGAACTGAGATGGTGGACACGTAAGTCTAACTAAAGGAAGGAGATGGTGAAAACGCTAATTCCAAGCTTAATGGACACCAACCAGAATCCAATGGCGTATGAACTTGTTTTGGTTACACGTAACAATCAGTGAAGTAGCTCCTAACGCTGCCTTATTATTATGACTTGTGGATCAGACTTCAAGTAGTCAAATGCTCGCGATGGTTTGGCTGTGAGCAGTATCCCAGCCGGCGTAAAAAAAATGGTGACATACTGTGTGAGGAACTCCTTGGTGTGCATAATGTACGAAGTTTATGTTTGTTCTAATAACAGTAATCCCCTGTTGCTAACAGTACTACTATTCAATGATAAAGTTATTTTTTCCTTCACGTTTCCCAGTGGAACATAGGGCTTCAAGCCAGAAGGCTTGAAGTTTCTGTAGCAGTGTTTATTTTTACAGGATGGGAGTTGCTAGCCTCATGCCCAACCTTCCCTCTTCACCAATCGTATTACTGGCTTATTGAGGTAAAGGAGTGCGTCGGCCGGGGATCGAACCCCTGATCATGTGCATGGTCAGCGAGAGTGCTAACTGCTGTGCCACTGACGCACAGTAATAAAGTTAACCCCGGAATATTTCATTTCGTTCTCGGTAGGTGTTATCGTTATAATCGTTACAGAACGGAAGGCCTAACTGTTAATCATAGACATCAAAGAGTGTCTGTTTGTGTTACCCAACTACGGTTACGCACACTTATTCTGTGTGTGTGTGTGTAGGAGAGAGAGAGCCAGTGATATATATCCATATAATATGTGTTTGTTTGACAGTCTAATATATATTGCTATGTATATATGGATCGATATTCCATTATAATTAGCCAATCATGTTAAGACTGTCTATTGATTTGTTCATTTTGAATATTCGCTCACACACTTGTTCGGACTTTCTTATATTTTGCTCTCACACTCTTGTGTGACATTTTGATTCTCCTGGTGTTTGGAAAATAGAAGTATCATCGCAAACCTAGTGGTCTTCTGATTTCCGTCTTTCTTGCGTCAGGACTATTAAATTCTCGACCAGTACATAACAGCCAGTGTGATAACACTCCCTGTCTGTTACAAAAGCATCTCAAGCAAATGTGCGGACATGTGTCCGGACTGGCAACCACCCTCGAGTAGTCGATAGCCAAACGCCTAGACCAGTGAGTGAGTTAGGGGAATGACACACACAGTTTGCTCTTCAACAAATTCTTGACAACACGCGTATACAGATACTGTGATAAATATTTGAACAGAAGTACACAATCTTATTCAAAATTCTTCTATATATACACATATTTATATTTATTTTGAAATATTATTCTTTTGTAGTCTGAATTATAATAATTTAAAAAACAAATACAGCATTGTTTTGTTGTTGTGGTTATTATTATTATCATAGGTGATGATGCTGACGCCGTCAGATGGACAGACATCAGTTCTGAACTACGCCTTTATGCAAGTCATCGTGATTTCATTCAACTGGTAGCCAGTTTAAGAAATGCAAAATGGTGATATTATTTTGTTTGTTTTTTACATTAGAAAAAAAGAGACTACTGCTTATTCCGCTTAATTAACTTTAAGTAGTATATGTGTATACAAAGCAAAAAAAAGTGACGAAAAACAAGAAAAAGAGAGGAAAACATAGAGTAACAACAAATTGGAATTCCCTGAGAAATTGATGATATCTCCATCTCTTTTTTTAACATTATATTTTGTAATAATTAGAAAAATTCAAATTTACATTTATTCTCTGTTGTTGTTTTTTTTACATATACACATCAGTACATCATCATAATAATAACATACATTCACTTGTCTTGTGTGTGCTTTAGTGGGGATGTCAAAATATACACGCGCACACATGCACACACACATATCGGTTGAGCTGTTGTAAAATCACCTGAGATTGTGTATGTGTGAAGGGAGGGGGGAAGAGAACTGACGGACGGACGACGACGACAGCAACTCAAAAAGAACAAAGGAGTCTTTCTTTACACGGGAATGGGGGGATAGCATGAAGAATTTTGATAAGACAATTTTCAAAAAAGGACAAAATAAATTCATCATGCTTAAACGGTTAGAAAAAAAGGGTTTTTTTTAAAGGCGTAGGGATTATAAAATCGGACCGGGTGGTTTATAAACATGGGAAGGGGAGTGAAAGTGATTAAACATATAAGAGATAAAAGCGCGCGCACTTTTTCTGGATCATTATTGTTGATGTGTTATTTCAAAGAAAGTAGTCCGGAATTGGTCGACGGGCTGGTATACTACGAACATCCTGTTATATAAGGAAAAAATTTGAAAGAAAAATTAACTATGTCAGCAACAAAGCATCACAGTGAGGAAATAAACAATCGCATCATTCCTTGCAAGCTCATAGTAAAGATGTTCCCAAATGCTTAATGACTAACACTACAGACCCCCTCAGTGTTCAAAAACAATAATAATGATTTACTTTATTCCAAAAACAGTACTTGTGATACAGAATGAAATTTTCAGCATTAATCACAATGTTGCATCTAATTTCCTCAAATTATAAATACAATTAATCACACAGAAAATTTTCCACATCTACAATGGAGGTAGTGTCAAAAACATGCAGTATATAAAATGGAAATAATAATGATAACAGCTACGGTAGTAATAATAATAATACAAGTGAAGATTTCCGTGGGCTTGTGTCACACAGTATTGGCAATGTGGTATAGAAATCTTAGCATGTTTAAAAATATTGAATATAATGTTCTCTTTACGTGATATGGTGAGGGGAAAAACAAAGATTACAGCCGTCATGGAGATAAGTTGGTATTTGCAATTACGAAAGTAAAACAAAGAAGCGACAGGACCATAAATATAATAGAAATAATAAAAGTAAAAAACTTGAAGGTGTATAAGGATGGATGGAGGAAAGGTTAGTTAACTCTTGCCTGACACTATTTTCATCACATAAAATACGTGCCAAGTATGGTATCGTTTTCTGAAGTTACTTCTTGTTCTACCTGAGGAGATGCAAGGTGAAAGCTGAGGGTAAATCTCATGCTCCAAGTCAGACAAAATCCTTTTAGCAAATTTATTGCACGAAGTCAAGTGCCTATCGACAACGACGTTAACTATGTGGTTCACTGGGACACCACTCACCCTACTGACAGTCTTCAGCATTCTACGATTTGTGACATAATCCTTTTTAGGCGAACCAGGAAAGAATAAGGGCGAACAATAAAGAAGAATAGGCAGGATATAAGAGTTTCTGAACTGTAAGGGGAGGGGTTGAGTTATACCCGAGTGCCTTAACTTCTTAATGTAAAATGTCAGGCGGAATATTTTACTGGAGATCGCTAAGACATGGGAAGACCAGGAGAGATCAGAAGAGAGAATAAGTCCAAGATACTTAATTTCTGATTTAATTCCTGAATATGAGGCGTATTGGACAGATAGCCAACTACTGCTACCTTGACGTGTGGGTTGGGTTTGCATGCTACCATGATCCAACGGGTTACACATTGCTTACAAAGAGTGTTTCTCTATGTCCTACTATACCAGAAATGTCATTTGGCTAGACTAAAATAATAGTGTAATTCGTCTACAGTATATTCTACTCATGCATCCACTTCCTGTGACTTATGACCTTCAATGAAACTGTTTTGTATTTCTTTATTACTCCTTTGTCTCACACCTCTGCTCACTGTTTCTATTATGCTTTTCTTGTACTTTCTTCTCTTGCTTCGCGTGCTACACGGAATGTGGCGACTTGAACTTCCGCACATTTGTGCAAAGTTCTATGTCGAAAACAGACAGACTACAGTATATTGCGGATCTGAAGGAGCATTGTGTGTTCCCTCCAGGCGACCAACTAAGCTGCCTCTGGGGTGAGAGGCGGGTTAGGGGGTACTTCTTTAAAAATTCTACACCACACCTTAACTTGTACAAGTATGTAGTCAGCGGTAAGCTGCTCATCATAACAACACAACTACAAAACCTACTTTGAGTAGACCACGTGTGTCCGGCCCATGTTGTCCCAGGTACTACACTAACGCTTGCTCTCTGTTTCAGGTATTTAAAGAAATCAATTTCAACGATGTCAGCATTCGGGAAGTAATAACGACCAGTACACACTTCCACAGCCAAAACAGTCCAAGTCTTTCAAATCGCACAGTACTATGGCATTAACAAGAAGAGTCTGGAATATATTTCCCGGTTTTTTTTATATCAAATGGGTCTAGTGACCTGAATATCAACCTCTGTCTTTTGCTTAATGAGTAAGAGTGATGGCAAACTTTTTAAATGCCAACAAGCAGGGCATTTATCTATAATGAAAATATAGTCTAGCACCCATAACGACTTATTTCTTAAAGCTTAATACCAATTCTTAGCGCACAACAGTAACTACACCAGATCGATAGATTTCGATACACACTTGAGAGTAAGCAAATAGTTTCATCGACATATGATAGTCAATTCGTACAAGAGATAATGTAATTTGTCAGTGATCTCTGCTCTGAATTAGATGTGAAAATTACTGCCAGGCAGCTGAGGAAATCAGTAACTATAATCATCCGCCCTCTACAATTACAAATTAATTTGAAGTTGATGAATCAGTTGTACTCATCAGAGCAGAAAAAGTTAGGCATCATAAGCCTCTGAACCAACTACCACTATTACTTTTTTATCTCAATTGAAAAGCTATCCTGTTCTGAAAACAGACAGTTAGTGCCATTTACCTGCATAATCTGGTTATTTTGATGCATACTTATGCTCTCCCTTATCAACCTTCGCCTAGTTGTATACGTCTAAGCAAGCTATCACAAACAAAGGCTGGCTGACGCATTAATGTAGATAGCACTATCTTGCTTTTCCAATTGACTTACCGCGCGCGGAATAATGCTTTTGTCCACGACAAGTAAAATATTAAGTCGCCTCATCCTGGAGAGAATAAATAGGATGCACTGGATACAGAACTCCGACCCCGCCCAGAACAATATGGATTCAAAAAAAGGCAAATGATGTGCGAAACAAATTGCAACTCTACGCGTCATCATCATCACAGAACGAAGGAGTCAAACTTCTATCTTAATTTCATCAATGTTGAAAAGGCTCTGGATAGCGCTGACCACGAGGAAATTTAGAAAATACTGCAACACTATGGAGTGCAGTGCACCAAATCTTTATCAACCTTATCCAACAATGGCACGTGTCAGGCAATCCACAACGAAAAATTCAGAGAAGCTTTTGAAGTGAATACAAGAGTAAGACAAAGCTGTCCACTACAACCACCGCGGATGATATCCCTAAATGTAGTGGACTGGATCATGCGTCAGACTGTGGGTAGCAAGAAGAAAGGAATACGCCGCCGGATCGATAAGAAAACTCTAGAAGATCTGGATTTCGCCGACGATTTATTTCTCACGTCACACAAACTCGAAGACTTGCAGGCAAAAACTAACAAACTGGCAGCGAAGATTGGACTCCAGGTGAACATAGAGAAGATGGGGTGGTGAAGATAAACAACCAACAGCAACAACAATCAGCACTAATCGCCTTCAATGGGGGAAATTTCCTTCCTTCAGTTATCCAGCCAGGAAGCATCGTTTCAACCACAGGCGGAACGGATGAAGATTTTCTTATTTTGATTACGTCTTGATGTCACACCGTATTTTCAGTACAAGTCTGGAATTTTCAGCATGTGATATCGGTAGCCCAAATTTTGCAGGCCGACCACAGGTATCCGGTGCGCGTCGGCAGGGGATCGAACCTCGGACCATGTGCATGGTCGGTGAGAGTCCTAACCACTGTGCCACCGACGCACAAAAACCAGGGAGTACTGGACAGCTGTTTCACCCTACCTTGGGAGTCCTCGGCAGTACGCACCCACTGGGGTTCGAACCCAGGACCTTCCGGTTACAAGGCAAGCTTGTACACCATTCAGCCACCAAAGCCAGCCAGGATCGGAAGGGCACAGTTCACCTGCATCCCTTCTAAAATCAATTTGGAAATCTTCCGCAATTAGAATAAAGAACAAGGTTCAGATTTTCAACACAAAAGTTAAATCACTTCTTCTATATGGTTCAGAATCTCAACGTGTATGTCACGAGAAGCATTTCCAATAGGATGCATTCTTTTATCAACAGTTGCCATAATTCACTGGCTCCATATTGAGAAGATCAAATGGCCAGAAACTCTGAGAACAAACTAAACCACGATGGACTGAGGAGACCATCGGTTAATATCGCGTGGAATGCAGGTCATCGCTTGAGGGAAACACCGAGTGGGTCGTCCGAGGGTGACATAGAGATTGTGCGAGGAAGAGATAAGAGACTATGCATAATCAATTGTGAGCCCAGTCAAAAGGGGGCAGCAGAAAATAGGACAAAGTAGAGACGTGCTGTTGAAATCGTATGTCCCACTCACCAGCTTCCAGTGTAGAATTAAATGAAAAAAAATAAACACATGGATAGAAGTTTCTGATGCTCACTGTCATACAAAACATTCACGTAAATGACTGAAGCAAAGCTTTTTTTCTGTATAAGAGATATGTGTTGCACACAAAATAAAAAACAATCGATAGGTAGATGGATATGTATAAACTCACTTGTGGTGCAGCTTCAAATATTGAAAATTCTTTTTCTAGCCGTTCACTTAACCGTAAAATAGCAGCAACATTTCCACAACGATAACAATAATTTGGTGCTGACCATACAGTGAGTACACTTTCATGAAAATGCCAACGATAACCTTCCATAACTAATTGATGTGCACGACAAATAAAGTCGATTCGATTCAACTAGGTAGGGGAAAATTATAAATATGTAGTATTAGTGGTTTTTAACACATAGATTATTTCACGATATGTCAAACAGCTTTTTTTTAAAGTAGTATCTCATGACTGGAACTACTCTTTAAGACTAATTGACAGTGGATGTATGTATATGCATGGTTTCATCATCGAATTTAAGCAAAAACACCCGGCCGATAACTGCTACCTTGTCGTGGCGGTCAGGCTTGAATACCGTAATGACCCAACATGCTAAACTGACTGGGACTCTGTCAGTCCTGCAGGTCCTACCATGTCAGGAAGGTTGTTTGGATAGCGATTAAACTAAAAACAGTTACCGTGGGGTACATGGGCTCCAGTATCCAACTGGATCAAATGGCGTATGAACCCATATGGGTAACCGTCAGCCATGGGAATGCAGCTTCTGACGATGCTCCGCTGCCTTGCGGATTAGACTCCAACTCAATAATCAAGCGTAGACTGAGTGGTGCTCGGGAGGCACAAACACGAGAGAGCCAGGCAGGCTTTAGACCAGGAACAGGGTGTATTGATCATATCTTCACCCTACGACAGATTCTAGAACATAGGAATTCCTACCGGCGTCCAACAGTCATTGTATTTCTCGACCTAAAGGCAGCATTCGACTCTGTCGATCGAGAAGTTCTCTGGAGATGCTTGGCTGTAAAGGGAATCCCGAGAAAATATATTGCACTGATTAAGGCACTCTACTCGTACTCATACAGCCAGGTGAGGGCTTATGGCGAGTTGTCATCTGAACTGGTGACGACTAGTGGTGTCCGTCAAGGATGCCCATTATCCCCATTTCTATTCATTTTCATCACAGATGTGTTAATGGCCTTAACCCTAAATGACTTCACCGACTCAGGGATTGACTTGCTACCAGGGAATAATTTCGTTGACTTAGAATATGCAGGCGATATAGTCCTCCTAGGCGACGACTCTGACAAAATGCAGAGTCTTCTAAACACCTTGAGCCGAAATCTACGAATGTTTGGCATGCGATTCGCTCCCGCCAAATGCAAGATGATGTTACAAGACTAGACCACACTGACTCCTAGACTAGAAATAGGGAGTGAAGTGGTAGAGTACGTTGACCGCTTCACTTATTTGGGAAGTAACATCAGCGCCAACGGGTTCATCTCTGACGAAATCTCAGCACGAATACAGGGGGCTCGTTTCGCATTTGCCAGTTTACGCCGACTCTGGCGTAGACGAGATGTTCGACTATCAACCAAAGGGCGGGTGCACTGCTCACCAGTCCGTTCCGTCCTCCTTTACGGTTGTGAGACCTGGCCAGTGAGGGTGGAAGACATGAAAAGATTAGCTGTCTTTGATGATAGATGCCAGCGCTCTATCTCCCGTGAGAAGTGGCATAATAGGGTGAGCAACATGGAGGTTAGGCGTAGAGTTCTAGGTAAACAGGGGAAATCAATCGACGAAGTCGTGAAATTACAAAGACTGAGATGGTTGGGACATGTGCTACATATGCCTAGCCATCCTCTTCCTAGACAACAGGCAATGTTAGCTGACTGGCATAGGGTCAGGCTGGAAAAGAGCTAGCGGCGGTCAAACCAAAACATGGCACCAGTCAGTGAAATCCACAACAGTTAGTTTAAGCCAGTCACGTAGGAAGATGCAGACTTCCTGGTTGGAGTCCTCAGGACGGTGAAAACCGATGATAGCTAGAGACAATTGGTGACATGGCTCAAAATCGTTCTCAATGGCTGGTGCAGATGCATCCACTCCTTGTTACTTATGATTTCCAATGAAACTATATTGTTCTTCGTCATTACCATTCATTTGTCGCACACCTCTGTTTACTGTTACTGTTATGCATTTCTTCCACTTTCTTCTCTTGCTTTGTGTGCTACAAGGAGGGAGTGTGGCGACTTGAACTACTGCACATCGGTGCAAAGTTCTATGTCGAAAGCAGACAGACAGACATATATACGTTCTATCTCCCGTGTTAAGTGGCATAACATGGTAAGTAATATCAAGATTAGGCGTGGAGTGTTTAGTAAGGAGAGTAAGCCAATCGATGAGGTTATGAGGATGGATCGAATCAGATGGCTGGGACAAGTGTTGCGCATTCCTAGCCATCACTTCTCTCGTCAGTCAATGTTGGTCAACAAAGGATTAGGTTTGGAAAGAGTTAGAGGTGGTCACAACAAAACTTGGCACCAATCCGTGAAGTCGCTGACAGTTGGTATGAATCATGTCGGGAGGTGTAGGGGTTCTTGGAACCGACGGTTGGAGATTACTGGTGATATGGCTCAATATAGCTCTGAACAACACTGCTGATGTATTCACTCTCCGCGATTCTCCGTATCCCCTAAACCGTCATGTTTTTCCATGCTGTTATTCATTACCACCCTATCCACATTTTTGCTTATTATAGTATTTTACTCTCACTCGTTTGTCTAACTTTGTGTGCTAAATGGAATGTGGCAACTTGAACTGGTGCACTTCTCTGAGCTAAATTCTATAGACTGGCTGAATGAAGACATTACAGCATATGTCTGTCTGGATTCAACATAGAACTTGGCACCGAAGTGCAGCAGTTCGAGTTGCCACGTTTCAAATAGCACACAAAGGTAGACAAGTAGATTACAACATATACATATAAAAGTATAGCTGAGTTTGTATTCTGGACCGTGTCTATGAACGTAAATCAACATTAATGAGGTATAATAACATTGAGATTCACTCATAGTGATGAAAATCACAAGTAGTACTGCTACTATGCTTTACTGACCACTCAAAAGTTTGATGATGACTGTCACTGATTTAAGAACTAAGTAGGCTTATGTTATGTTAGATGTGCTTTATATAGTGATTTATCATTCCTGATAAGGCTAGTGTACGGCTTCTCTACATGAATCAGGTGATTAATTGAAACTGCATAATGTTATCTATCTGTGTACGTGTGATCACAAAGCCTTTATGCATCTACACCTACTAAAAACTTCACACATCCTATGGGCCTTGACCTGAATAGACCAGAAGAAGTATTTATACTTCTTTAAGTTAGATTTTTTCAATTTAATACTCACGTGTTTAAACAATGAAATATCTCATCTCAAAAACTGAAACATCTCAAAAGACTGTGTATTATAGTTAGAAAATAAAATGACAAATTTTGCTGTAAAACGGCGATAACGTTTGGACAATCAAACAGAATGACTGACTGACTGCCTGACTGGTTTCAGTATATACTTTTGCAAAGATGTGCAACAGTTTTAATTGCCACTCTCCATGTACCATACAAAGTGAAAGAACAGAGTACAGAGAGGTAACAAACACAAGTTTGAGTGGGGAAAAACGGAAGAGCAGTAATCGGAAAGAAGAATGTTTTATTAGATATGACTGTCTGTCTGCTTTCGACATAGAACTTTGCACCGATGTGCAGTAGTTCAAGTCGCCACACTCCCTCCTTGTAGCACACAAAGCAAGAGAAGAAAGTGGAAGAAATGCATAACAGTAACAGTAAACAGAGGTGTGCGACAAATGAATGGTAATGACGAAGAACAATATAGTTTCATTGGAAATCATAAGTAACAAGGAGTGGATGCATCTGCACCAGCCATTGAGAACGATTTTGAGCCATGTCACCAATTGTCTCTAGCTATCATCGGTTTTCACCGTCCTGAGGACTCCAACCAGGAAGTCTGCATCTTCCTACGTAACTGGCTTAAACTAACTGTTGTGGATTTTACTGACTGGTGCCATGTTTTGGTTTGACCGCCGCTAGCTAACATTGCTCGTTGAGGAAGGCGATGACTTGGCATACGTAACACATGTCCTAACCATCTCACTCATTCGATGTAATTTCACAGCCTCGTCGATTGATTTCCCCTCCTTACCTAGAACTCTACGCCTAACCTCCATGTTGCTCACCTTATTATACCACTTCACACGGCAGATAGAACGCAGGCGCCTATGATCAAAGACAGCTAATCTTTTCATGTCTTTCACTTTCAATGGCCATGTTTAACAGACATAAACGAGGACAGAGCAGACTTCTGAGCAGTACACCCTCCCTTTGGTCGATAACCGGATATCTCGTCTATGCCAGAGACAGCGTAAACTGGCATATGCGAAACTATCCCTCTGTATCCGCGCTGAGATTTCGTCAGAGATCAACCCGTTGGGGTACCCGTACTATTGGATATGACAAATCACAAACAGTGAATACATCTGCGCAAGCTATTGACAACGATTTTAAGCCCTACTACCATCAATTGTCTCCAGCCTTCATTGGTTCTTACCAACCTGAGGAACCCAACCAGTCAGGAAGTCTACACCTCCCCACATGGCTGACCGGTTGGCTTAAACTAACTGTTATGGATTCCATTGACTGATGAAGCCATGTTTTGGTTTGACCACCAATAGCCTTCTCTTTTCTAACCTGCTCCCACGTCAGTTAACATACGCCGTCAAGGAAGGCAATGGATGGCTAGGCATGCATATGTAACACTTGTCCTAACCGTTTCAATCGATGTAACTTCACAACATTGTCGGTCGATTTCCCCTCCTAACTAGCACTCAATGCCTACACTCCATCGGCCATGTCTCGTTCACATCCATAAACGAGGATGAAGCAAACTGCGACTGAGTGGTACACACGTCTTTTGTTATACGCCAGAGACGGCATAAGTTGGCAAATGCTATACCAGCCTTCTGCATCCGTGCTCAGATTTCGTCAGCGATCAACCCGTTGGCGCTGGCTGATGCCTTTTCTCAATTAAGTGAAGTGGTCAACACGTTCCATCAACCACTTCATTCTTTATCTTTAAGCTAGGGATGAGTCAATGTAGTTCAGTCCTGTAGCATCATCTTACATTGGACAGCAGCAAACTAGCCACATCGTCACTGGCAAAGACAGAAGAAAACACTGACCAAAGACCTTTAAAAAAAAGCATTCAGTTTAAACAGATAACAAACAGGACTGAAAGAAACTGATATATTCAGTGTTCCAATATTTTAATCGAAAACTACGTGGGATGAGAATTTAATTTAGCTGTGATATTACAGTAGATTCATGCGACATTTTAAAATTCAAAAGGTTATTAAGACATAAGTGCCGCATAAACATAATAGACATGATAATAACCCACATTTCATGTGTTATTACTAAAAGGCACTAACTAATTATAAACAGATAAAGTCTAATTATATTTCAATAGTTTACACACAATGATAACTGTTTTGTTATTGGTAATATTTCGAGCAAAATCACTACTGCCCGTGTTCACACCACTGTTAGAATTGTTTTATTCACACATGTATGATTTGTACTCATATTTGTAGTTCATTTTTTGTTCATTCATTTTTGTGCATTATGTTCCAAGTTGTTGACAGTTGTGCTGCTGAGTCACTCTTGTTACATGTATCCGGTGTGACTTTAATGAATATCGATTCTGTTATAAGTCTTTCTTTCCATTTGTTCATGTTAGTTTTTTAGAATACACACATTGTTCCAATCGATATTGTGGTTTTTGTCCCATGTATGTGTAGCTATTGATGAATTTATTTCAAGATTTTTGTAAGCTTGTGTTCCTTCCTGTTGGTTGATCTTTGGTTGGGCGTTTATGTTTATTCGCTCTTATTTTGAGTGATCTGAACGTTTGCCCCACATATTTAGTCGGGCAGTCAGCACAAGATATTTTGTAAATCAAATTGGTTTTATCCATTATTTTTATGGGATCTTTCAGTTGATTTATTTTTGATTAGATTCGTGGGTTTGAACGTTGTTCGAATGCCGATATCTTTGAATTGCCTCTGATGTACCATTTTTATATGGTATTGTGACTGTTTTTTCCATTCTTCCTTCTTGTTATTCTCCGGTTTTACCCTCTTTTTTATATTACCTTTTATAAATCCTTTAGGTTAGTTGTTTTCGAGTAGCATTTTGAATAGGACGTTTATTTCTTTAAACTGGTCCTCTGGTGTTGTTGTAAGTCTATGTATTCTATCTGCAAGACCTTGCAGTAATCCTCGTTTTACCGTGAGTGAATGAGCTGAGTAATAATCAAGGAATCTTCCAGAGTGTGTGGTTTTTCTATAATATACCGTCGTTTTTATGCTACCATCTGTCATTCTTTGTAGTTTGTGGTCTAACATAGGCAGTTCCCAATTTCATTCTCTATTTCCATAGTGAATTTTATTGGGTTAACATGGCTGTTTATGAGTGAGAAAAGTTTCTCAATATCGTTTTTTTTCACTATGACTAGTGTGTCGTCTACATATCTCCACCAACATTTTAATGATCACTTGAATGGTTTAAAGGCATTCTCTTCCCAATAATCGATTATTATTGGTGAGATAGGCGATCCCGTAGCTACTCCCTCATTTTGGTATATTTTCCCTTCGAATGTGAAATATGTTGTCGTCAGACAGAATTCCACCCCTTTTATTATCTCTTCTACGGATAACTGTGTTCTGTCTATTAGGAACAATGTGTGTATTCTAAAAACTAACATGAACGAATGGAAAGAAAGACTTATACCAGAATCGATATTCATTAAAGTCACACCGGATACATGTAACAAGGGTGACTCAGCAGCACAACTGTCAACAACTTGGAATATAATTCTGAATACAAAAACATAAATGAGCAAAAAAATTTATAATAATGAACTATATATATGAGCACAAATCATACATGTGTGAATAAAACAATTCCAACAGTGGTGTGAACACGGGCAGTAGTGATTTTGCTCGAAATATTACCAATAAAAAAACAGTTATCATTGTGTGTAAACTATTGAAATGTAATTAGACTTTATTTGATCTAATCCACAATGCTCAAACTTTTTACTGATAATTAATATAAACAGCATTATCAATTAAAATAAAACTATGTGAAAATATGTTAGAAGTTTTTCTTGAATATATATATATCTTACTTACCTGATTAAAGTTGGCTACAACATCTGAGCCAAATAAATAACCAGCACCTCTAGGACTAACACCCCAACCGGCTGTTTCTTCAGGATCAGACCATAAAAGATCACACATTGGACCATCATGAGGAACTTCTTGTTTTCTATCAATGGTACGAATCTGATCTAAAGTTGTGATTGTAGGTGACAGACCACCATGAACGCAGAATATCTTTATAGAAATAATTAAAATTTATGTAATTGTTTTTTTTAAACTACAAAATATTGCTAGTAAATCACATATTCTAATAATAAAGTAATTTTTTCCTTCACGTTCCTCAGTGGAACATTGGGCTTCAAGCTAGTGGCTTGAAGTTTCTGTAGCAGTGTTTTATTTTACAGGATGGGGTTGCTAGCCTCATGCCCAACCTTTTCTCTTTACCAGGATTATTTCTGGCTTAGCGAGGTAAAGGAGTGAATCCGCGGCCGGGGATCGAACCTCGGACCATGTGTATGGTCGGCGAGCGTCCTAACCGCTGTGCCACCGACGCCAAATCACATATTCTCTGAAATATTAATATAAACTATCTACGTAAAGTTATCCTAAAGAGAGAGAAAAATCTCAATTTTTCTATTCATAAAACAGAATATACCCATCAAGGCTTATTGGGGACTCATCAACTAGATGTAACTACATTCCCCAGTGAGTGACGGTGCCCCCCCCAAATGAGGCTTGAACACAGTACCTATAGTTTAACATACACCTGGATTCCACGGCGCTAGTCACCATCCACCAATTTATTTTAAATAATCAAACATCATCGAAGTCTCTGCACAAGGAGACGCCATGTCAACCTGAAGCTGAGCACTTCGGTTCAATCAGTCAACGGGAATGTCCAAATTCAATAAAAGGATAAACAACAATTTACACCTTTTAATCCTACAATACATCTCTAGGACAAAAGGTGAACCAAAAACCCTAATGAACCTAAGATTATTCCAGAAAGACAAAGATGCCGTCTGATAGTAGGAAATATAGTTAATATACTTATAATTACGATAAGCTACTTAGATAACTCACCAACTTACTTCTCTATATGAAATACATACTTTAAATGATAACGATGTTTCAAAAATGCATCACTTGTCTGACTATGAAAGTTAAGTCATAGGTCTTACACAACTTAAGGTCACATGTTTAGCAGGCTGATGACACCCGACAGAAAGCTGCTACCTTGACGTGGTGGTCGGGCTTGAACACCTCAATGACCTAATCAAGCTATACTAGCTGGGACTTATGTCGCTTGAGGTTCTACCATGCCAGAAAGGTTGTTTGGATAGCGGTTAAACAAAAAGCAGCTACCCCATCCAATACCATGATCCAAACAAATTCACAAAATATCATGCCGGATCGGCCGGGGCCCGGATTAACAACGACCGCGCTTCCTGCTGCTGTGTCACAGGGCAGGAGTGATAAACATGCTACTGAAACACACCGAACAATAAAGAACGAACAAAAACAGGTCGCGTGTGACCGGCCTCAAGCAGTTGTCCCCTGGGCTTTGCGGTCACGCAACCAACTTCCACGGTGTGGGCAGCCGGGAAGTAACAATCGCCCTCACAATCCGAAATGCACACGAAACCTCTTTAATCCTCACTCATCTAAGAGGTCAATCATTTATTTGCAATCTTTACAACCCAAGTAGTTGGTGATCTCAAAATCTGGAGGATACTTTCACCAAACATGAAACGTTTTCTCACCTCCTTCGGTTATTGTCACTTAGTAGTTGAAGGGTGCGCGTCGGTGGGTGGTACAGCGGTAGAATGCTCGTCAACCACGCTTCACGTGGTCTGAGGTCCAATCCCCCCAGTCAATGCACTCTTAAACCTCGCCAAGCCAGTAGTAAGATCGGTAAGGCGGTAATGTGTTGGGTTTATGGGCTAGCCAACTCACTCCATGAAAAAAATAAAAACCCACTGCTACCGAAACTTCAGAGCTTTAACTTGAAGCCTTATGTTCCACTAGGAAGGCAAAAGGAATAAAATAATAAACAAATAAAATGTAGTCGGAGTTTTTTCTTCAGCTTGTAATATATATGTTTAATTTTATTTGAAGAATATTTTCTTATCAAAGAAATTAATGTTTCTTTTTAATAGTATCGAACGACTATGATTAGAAAAAATTCAGGCGAACGTGAGCAAATTATTACTAGACTATTGTTAAACAAACACGTGAACAGGATAATTAATATGCACATTAATAATGCCTCTAAATAGAATGTTGCATATTAAAGTTCATGGTCATAAATGACAATGAATTATTATTTTATTTTATTCAAACGCAGAAAAGAAACTTGGTACAATATGGCACAAAGAAGGATGCGCCACACAATAATAATAAAACAACATAGATCAAAAGAAAAAAAGAAGGAAAAGAAATATATATATATAAGTCGAGAACGGATAAAGAACTTCATCTGGAAGGAAGACAGTCATGCTTAACAAGTTCGAACAGTATTCGTTAACTATCATCGGGAAGAGAAGAAAAAAGGAAATTGCAACACATTCGCCATTGATTACGATTCTTGGCCATATCCGATAACGTTTCGAGCCATCGATTTGAGCTATCTTTCGGACCCCAACCATGGAGTCGTGACACACCAACCGATGCTAATCTACCACAAAAATCCTACATCCCACAACGCCACGTCATGGACTGACCATCTCTCCGCCTTTTCTATCCCGTCCCAGGGCAGGCTAGCGAACAGAGACCTGTACGGAAGCCTCTGGGATGACATTCGCAGCACATGTCCAAGCCACCAGAACCGGTGTTCCCAGATGACGACACTCAATGAGTGGTAGTCTTCACTGTGTTCAAACACACGCCGCCGAACCTGAGAATTACTCACGCGGTGATGTCATCCATCGAACGCAGGCAATCCTGCGGAGACAGCGACGATCGAGCACGCAGAATGGCTGCACATCCTCAGTTCAGAGAGGCCAGGTTTCACAGGCGCAGCCCGCACCGAAGCATTGTATACCCGACCTTTCACAGCAAGTCTAACGTCGTGACGGCGCCAGAGGTGCCTCAAGTTGATGTATGCCACCCTAGCCTTCATTATACGGTTGGAAATCTCATCCGTCACCCCTCCACCAGCACTCACACAACTACCCACCCAGGTACACAAACTTATCAACAACTTCAAGCGGTTCACCCGCAAGAGTGATTGCAGGTACATGCTCTTGCCAATCTTGTAACAGTACTTTGCACTTAGACGGAGCAAAATACATACCATACTTACAGACACTGATCGCCAACTGATTAAGTGCGATTTGGGCAGCCTGCATGCTATCGCACAGTAAGACGATATCGTCTGCATACTCGAGGTTGAAAAGTTTATCTCCAGGTAGCAGATCTACACCACCTTCACGCACATCCTTCAGAGCTGACTCCAGAATGTCATCGATGGCAAAGTTGATGAATGACGACAATGACAATGATGACAATGAATAAAATATACCAGTTAATGCTCCTAGATTATTCTTGAAAATGAATTTTATTCATTTTGCTTATATGAACAAGTATTAATATCAAAAACAGGAAAAGGCACCAGAATAGGAAATTATGCATTATCAGTCGGTTTGTAAGTGAACATTAATTAAGTAAAACAGAAGATTTATTCATACGAGTGTAAATGAATCAGATGAATTTTATTGAAATGCAGGAAATGTACAAATTGATAACATAACGAAGGGTCGCACCACCTTGAAGGTATGACACAGTACACTATTTTAGAATTTATGCATTCTACAGGGCAACAACAATGGTTGGACTTGTTTCTCTTTTTTTTTTGTCTGCGCACATGATTCCAGCTGAATTGATTTCGTCAGCTTGTTAATCACAGAAGGTTTAATCTCAGACATAAAATTGCTTGCTGTTCACGGAGGCAATACATTTGGTAGCCATATTCTTTCATATAAACTTATCTGGACAGTTATTTTGAAGAATGGCATTACATATATATACAGACTTCACAGTTTAACCTCATTTACATTCTTCCGAACATACAGCTCTCATTCTCGTATCGGAGGGGAAACGGAACCGGCAATATATACACTATCGTGTCCAAATAGTTTTCTCAGGAGAGTACCTTTTCATAGTACCATCTGATATTCCTGCAAGAGAAAAATCAAAGAGATTTCGCCCTATGATGTAGATCACAATAAAGTGGGTAATTTTATTGTCAGCCTGTCGAAAATGTTTTCATAATTACACCTTAACTAATGCATGTATATGTGACACTGTAGAAGTTGAAGGAATTATTCAAAGAAAAGTACTTTGTTCACCAGTTAGTATTTTGATTTATAATGGTTATTTTCAAACAAATCATAAGAATTCTTTAGTTCACAGTTTAAAATCCTTCATCTTTTATTCAGTGCAACTACAGCTTACAAATATGCAAGCCCGACCACTAAGTCAACGGAAAATCAATCGACGAGGCTATAAAGTTACATAGACTAAGATGGCTAGGTCACGTGGTGCGCATTCCTATCCATCGCCTCCCCTCCCCGACGGGCATTACCAGCTGATATAGGTGCAGGTTGGAAAAGAGTAAGTGATGGTCAAACAAAAACATGGCCTCATCAATCCATGAAATCCTTGACAGTTAAACTGAGTCAGGTAGGGAGATGCAGACTTCCGGGTTGGGGCCCTCGGGACTCTAGGAATCAATGGCTGGAGACAATAGGTGACATGACTCAAAATCGTTGTCAATGGCTGGCGCAGATGCATTCAGTCTCTGTAATCTTTCATATTCCTTTATACCATTACCACCCACTCTGTTTCACTCTTATACTTGTCAAACTCTATTGATTCTCTTCACTCATCTTCTTGTCTACCTCTGTGTGCTATTTGGAACGTGGCAACTCGAACTGCTGCACTTCGGTGCCAAGTTCTATGTTGAATCCAGACAGAGACAGAGACAGACCACTAAGTCAAGACGGCAGTTATTGGTCTGGACGAATCTAGACAATGACTTTTGCGTCTGAATCTCACTCCAACTATTCTAATTTCGAATAGATAGCTAATACGATTAAGTATCAAAATAAGTGTGACTTTATCTCAAAAGAGTGAATATGTACAAAACTGCTGAGTTCCTTTTGCTTATTAACACAGACCTACAAAACTCTTTCTCTTAGAATTTATAAGAAACGGAAAGTTAAGTAACCTCATTTGGATTTCGATAAGAAGTTGGTGCACATCGCAGCTGTTATCACAGTGTTTTATAAACCTACATAATCTAAGTTGTTTATGGACTATTATGCTACTTATATATATGTATATATATGCAGTATTCGGAGACAGTTTCCAGGTTAGCTGACGCACACTGCGGAACTTTCATATATTAACAGTCAACCCCGTAATGAGGCTCAAATTTGCCTGACTTACTCAGGCTTTTTTAGGTATTTATACAGAAAGGATTGGTTGGGGAATGTCCTTTCAAACAAACTATATTAGAAATGCAGTCAGTAACTGACTAAACGACAAGAAATAAAGACCAGTTACAAATCCCGAACAGGTTAACGGCAGTCATAAGACTTTATGCAATGCAGCCTAAAGTCACGACGATGCAAGTAAACTGCATGCAAACTGTAGAAATTCACCTTTTGTATCGCCAGTAGTCTGACTGCTTTAACTTAACACCAAATTGCTTGAAACTAGAGTATACTGCAAGGACTACTCGGATACAACAATTACTATTATTGCAGTAAATTTGGGGCCAGAACGAGGAGATTCAAGAGACAAAGCATAAGTAAGATTATTTCTGAGAAAAATGGCTCTTCAATTAGCTCCCAGGATAGACGACTGGAACGCTGGAAAGAGCACTATGAGGAGCAGTTTAATTGGCCCACAGCCACGCTCAACCTTCCGAACATCCAACACCCTGAATGGAATATAGACACAGATTCTCCTTCCTTAACTAAGGTTACTACAGCTGTCACTAATCTGAAACAAGACAAAGCAGCGGGACCTGATGGAATGACTCCAGAGGTATTTAAGTACGGTGGAGACAGTTTACTGTCTGCATTAACTGAGGTACTAGGCAGCGTCTGGGAATCAGAAGTCCCATCGGGTTGGTGTAAGTCACTGATTATCCCCATATACAAGAAGGGAGACAAGTCTTCCTGTGATAATCACAGAGGGATTAGCTTGACTAATATAGTATCTAAAGTCCTAGGCTCAATAATCAAGCGTAGACTGAGTGGTGCTCGGGAGGCACAAACACGAGAGAGCCAGGCAGGCTTTAGACCAGGAACAGGGTGTATTGATCATATCTTCACCCTACGACAGATTCTAGAACATAGGAATTCCTACCGGCGTCCAACAGTCATTGTATTTCTCGACCTAAAGGCAGCATTCGACTCTGTCGATCGAGAAGTTCTCTGGAGATGCTTGGCTGTAAAGGGAATCCCGAGAAAATATATTGCACTGATTAAGGCACTCTACTCGTACTCATACAGCCAGGTGAGGGCTTACGGCGAGTTGTCATCTGAACTGGTGACGACTAGTGGTGTCCGTCAAGGATGCCCATTATCTCCTTTTCTATTCAACTTCATCATAGATGTACTAATGGACTTAACCCTAAGCGAATTCAGCAATTCAAGGATTGACTTGCTACCAGAAAATAATTTCGTTGACTTAGAATATGCAGGCGATATAGTCCTCCTAGGCGACGACTCTGACAAAATGCAGAGTCTTCTAAACACCTTGAGCTGCAATCTACGAATGTTTGGCATGCGATTCGCTCCCGCCAAATGCAAGATGATGTTACAGGACTGGAATGCAGCGACTCCTAGATTAGAAATGGGGAGTGAAGTGGTAGAGTACGTTGACCGCTTCACTTATTTGGGAAGTACCATCAGCCAGTGTCAACGGGTTGATCTCTGACGAAATCTCAGCACGAATACAGGGGGCTCGTTTCGCATTTGCCAGTTTACGCCGACTCTGGCGTAGACGAGATGTTCGACTATCAACCAAAGGGCGGGTGCACTGCTCACCAGTCCGTTCCGTTCTCCTTGATGGTTGTGAGACCTGGCCACTGAGAGTGGAAGATATGAAAAGACTAGCTGTCTTTGATCATAGGTGCCTGCGCTCTATTTCCCGTGTAAAGTGGCATAATAAGGTGAGCAACATGGAGGTTAGGCGTAGAGTTCTAGGTAAACAGGGGAAATCAATCGACGAAGTCGTGAAGTTACAAAGACTGAGATGGTTAGGACATGTGTTACGTATATCAGGTCATCGCCTCCCTTGACGAGCAATGTTAGCGGATATAGGGTCAGACTGGAAAAAAGCTAGCGGCGGTCAAACAAAAACTCGGCACCAGTCAATGAAATCCACAACAGTTGGTCTAAGCCACGTAGGAAGGTGTAGACTTCCAGGCTGGGGTCCTCGGGACGGTAAAAATCTATGGTTGGAAACAATTGGTGACATGGCTCAAAATCGTTCTCAGTGGCGCAGATGCATCCACTCCTTGTGACTTATGATCTCCAATGAAACTGTTTTGTTTTTCTTTATTACTCCTTTGTCTCACGCTTCTGCTCACTGTCTCTATTATGCTTTTCTTGTACTTTCTTCTCTTGCTTTGTGTGCTACATGGAGGGAGTGTGGCGACTTGAACTTTCGCACATTTGTGCAAAGTTCTATGTCGAATACAGACAGACAGATTCAAGAGAGCACCGGAATAACAAACAAACATGAATACATCACATGTTACCACTGCTTAATACGGAGTCATTACACGGTATGCCTGTACATCAATAACGGAGAAACATGAATTAAATACGTAAGACTAAAACACAGATACTCTATGCCAGCGGTTAGAACGATGCTCGACTTAAACCCAAAAAACACTCCATCAAGAGTCTAACTATTCTTATGAGGAAAACGACTAATCCACAGTGTAAATTCGTGTGGGAATCTCAAATATGAAATAGTACATGGAAATAAACAACTTATCCACAACTCAAATAAAAACAAGTTACGTTAAGTTTGAACTCAACAGACTAATTACTGTATTGATGACATGGCGAAGCCTTAGCAACAGCTGGTTACCACAGAAACGATATATAACAAACGCGTAAAATGCCAACACTTGAAACAGAGGGATTGATTCCCTATCCACCATTACACAACAGATGAGATCTACTACCAACGAACTTAAAAAGAATGTTTCAGCAGACATCAATAAATCACTTAAATCGCACCTTGATAGAGAAAAAATGGCGAAACAATGTCCACCAATAGATTTGTGAATTTAATAACACTGCAACCATACGGAACGACATACAGACCCAGGTTGTCTTTACGTTTTCCTTGAAACTATTCTTGTTGTAACGGGAATGTTGGCTAACTATTAGCATGATGTAAGTGGAAAAAACAAATCCAGAACTAAATTACATAAGTCACCCTTCATTCTGCTTAACTAGTTTTAATAAGCAACTTAACAAAACCAAAAAAGTGAGGCGATGTCGAATTGCTTTAATAATTCGTGGATAACGCAATTCTATACTTGTCCTCAACAGCATGAAAAACAGACAAGAATATAAACACAAAACTTATCACTTACCCTCCCATCAATTACTGCAGAGAGGCATAAGTAATCAAAAATCTCAGTACACTGCCTCCAGACCATTGCTGAACCATACTTCCTAAGGCATTCTTCATAAAATCCATACACCATAGTGATTTGACGACTTTCATGATTCCCTCGTATAAGTGTTATTCTGTCTGGATATCTCACCTACACAAATTAACATAACACAATAAAGTCACCTTCAGGGCAAGAAGTAGCAGGAAAGTCTCAACACTGTGGTAACCGCGATCGACGAAATCACCCAAGAAAAGGTAATTCGTGTCTGGAACATCTCCGCCAACCTTGAAAAGCTCTATCAGATCGTAAAATTGACCGTGAATGTCACCACAAACCTGCAGAACATAATGAGTATTAACACAATAGCGTAATTTTAATTACAGTCACTGGTGAATCAACACATTGGACGTTACTTTCTTCTATGAGGATTTCCCGAGCTTTGGCGCAGAGAGCTTTAACTTCATCTTCAGTGATAAGTTTACATGCTCTTAACTGTTCTATTTGACGATCGAGATCACTCTGACCAGCCATTCGGGAACAAGTATTTATACTTTTCCCGCTTAAAATTCAAACCCAATAAAGCTCCATTCATTCTTCAATTATCATGTAGCTCTGATACAAGGTTGCCTTAAGGTCACACAACACAATATATCTAACGTTCCCAATCTTTTAGGCTATCTGATACAAGTGAATATATTCTCTTCATTCGTTTTCTTAGTGTATAATTCTCATGTTTTCAATGGCCTGGCAAGGACAACATATTAACTTACACAAACTTAGAACTAAAGAATATTCCTTTCTCTCAACTTCCAGGGAACGAAATGTGACGACTTTTTCTCCTTGATGCGTTCTTTGATTATTTTCCCAGCACAGGAGTAGTTACCATGTGTTTCAACCCTAATAAGCACAACGAGCGAATTTTGAAAATGGAGTGCAATTTACACGTTTTTGATTAATTCTGGCTTTTGTTGTGCTATACTCTCCAAAAGTCTATAGATTTACTTTTGGTCGGTTTATTCTGATCAGAGTTTACCTTTCAGTTTTGAGTCTATTTAATTATTGGAAGTTATCTTCTTAAGACTTAATAGTAATATATGCCCATTTCTGTGCACTCAGTGTTTTTATTACTGATTGGTAAAGGTTATATATAAAGTCACATTTAAATCTTATTGCCCAAATCCGCTCTAAAAAGCATGCCGGTCAAAAGGAACCTCTGTAGAAGGCTTATGTGCCAATTTCCAGTTGGAGAGGGAATGTATTGTGATAACCACAAGAAATGGTTTCATAGCATGTGCACAAACCTAACTCCTGCAGCATACAAGGGCTGCTGTAAACCTCTGGCGAAGTGGCTGTGCAATTACTGCTATAGTACGACTAAGTTTCGTATAACGCGTGCCTTGTACCACTCTCAGTGGTACTCTAAAGCCCATGGACTGCAAGGGCCTTTCACCACAGAAGAAAAGAGACCACTGCTCAGACACCGATAACGTGACTGGCGTCACCGACAAAACAGTACATGTTCCTGATGTGTTTCTGTCAATTAGTGGGTGCATTTCAGCAAAGAAGAGCATCCACCATATTTCAGACACCCGTGCTGCCCCAGCGATACTGGATAACCCCTCGAGTGATGGTAATGGAATGACTGGCACGAAGAATAGGTGTACCATGGGTTGAAAGCCTGCAGCTCAGGTCGCCCAGGGACTGTTAGGTCAAGCCTCGTCCACACCGGTATATAGCAGGCAGATAATAGTCGACTGCGATTAGCGAGGAGGACGCCAATGAATGGAGTGATGTAGTCTGTTTCAAAAGGCGAGGTGAGGACTACACATCGGCCACACTACCCACGAAGGACAAAAAGACATTTATGCCGCAAGGCAAGAAAGCCACGGCAAGTAAACTCAGTCCTTCTAACAGACCGCTCATTCTCCACAAAGTGGAAGAGTCACCGGCCTCCTATCCCAAGGTCAAGTTCGAGTATGCTCTTGACTTGTTCAAGCTCCTTTTGGATAAGTCACTGCCAAAAACATATCAGACATAACAACAGACAGAGTATATAGAAACGGCCAATACTCCTATCAGTTTAGACTCATTTGGATTCAGGTGTCATAGTTAGTCACGATTTAACAACTACAGCACACTCTCGCGTGGTGGCTACACGTAGTTTCAGACCTTTATGGGCGATTAACAGAGCCTTTACTGGAATCATCAATGGCATATTCACCTCCTTATGTACATCTGTGGTTAGGTCAAAACTGGAAAAATGCATCCAAACAGCCGGTCCTTGCATCAGTGGGGCCCCACACACTCTAGAAACGGTTCAAAGGAAGGCAACACGTATGGTTCTCAGCACGACTAACTTATCACACGAGGAAGGGCTAGACGGTTTAAGTCTCTTCTCCCTGTCATACAGTAGGCAGAGAGGGGATTTATTCACAATGTTTAAAGTATAAAATAATGACCACGGACCTGACCTATTATCGCCTTTCCTTCTCGCCAGGTCGGAGCACCTTAGAGGACACAGCAGGAGATTTCGAAAGCCAGAAAGAAATCATATGGCTGTTGAGTACTGGTTCTGACACTGAGTAATTAACACTTGGAACCGACTCCAAGAAGAAAAGATGTCTGTTACCTCAACCGATTCAATCAAGAAGGTTTTGGACAACCACTGAAATTTGCTAGGAATGGATTAACACAGGCTCCAAGCCTCCTATCCTGAACCAATAAATCTAAATCTGAAATCTAATAACGTCATACTGTACATGTGAAATAGTGTATGACTGTGTAGACTAGTCCAAAAACATTGTGCTCGAAAATCAGGCTGAAATTATCCAGCATGCTCAAGGTCATTGACGGAGTGAGACGCTCAAAGGTCATTTTCGTCCGTATTAGTCGGCCATGTTGGATTCCATTTCCGTAGCCGTTCGTTTACACATCGGTTTTCCCGTTTATCTTGCATTTATTCACAACTCATCTTGATGCGCATTGTTCAAAAATGCTGTGTTTCACCTCATTTTTGTTTCCGTTGCTGTCAAAATTACTAATTTCGTATGTTTCGGAAGTTTTTACCACCAGGGCAGTGCAATCACTCCATTACAATTGTTTTACACGTTGTTTTCATTCCCAGTTGGAATGTTTTAGTTGTTTTTCGGCTACTAATGAAGTAGTTCTGCGTGGAAGTTTAGAAAAATATGCACGTGAACGTGTTAAGCTGACAAAAGCCGTTGTTTTTAGTCCATTGGCTGGTTGCCGTTATTGTTTCTTGCTCAACTGACTAATTGGTATGTAGAAATCTGGAAAAAGCACTGTCTTTCACATTCATGTTTACAGCTTGCAGCAATCTGCGAGTCAATCTGGTGAGGAGAATACGATCAGGTTTGATATTGGAAAGGTTTATGAAGAGCATATCAAACTTGGAGATTCCAGAACGCGGTTTGAAGTTGAAAAAGCTTTGAAGCTTTTCGAGAAGCTGAGTATACCATCAGTGTATATTATCAGTTAAAGAATCAGATATATTGTCAGAGAATCTATATCAAACAAGGTTGAGTCACATGAGAAGTATGAACCTGTTGTGCCTGTATGTAGTTTTGGAACTGAAGGATACTTGAAAGCAACGAGAAACCCCTGAATGGTAAGTGTTAACTATCCTTATTAATGCCCAATGTACTAGATCCAAATACATGAACTAAGATCGCCTGTAGCAAAGCCATTGTTAACGGCCATTCACTGTGTTGCAAAACCACTTCAAAAGCGGATAACATGATGATCTGGTTAGTGTACGAACTATCCCAGTTAAAGGTAAGACTTTAATTAGCGAGAATAAAATTCGGGTTGTGGTCTGCAACAAGCTGAGGAGCTGATTATTATTCGGGGTAAAATATTGGCTGAATACAGATTGCTTGTTTCATTTCAAATAATGAAATTCCCATTTTTTGAATGTTTGTGATTTCTCCGTGTCTATAAATACGGATGCCCATGGTCTAAATAAATTTTCCTGAAACTATTCGTTTTCTTTGTCTTGGTGAAACATCTGTTAATACTATTAGAAGTTTAGGTATCAAAGTAGGATGTTCTGTGACTAAGAATCGTAGTCGTCGTGTTACGGATTAATATCGCGCTTGTAACTGTTATAACCCTATGGATATAGGTTTTCCCTCATGGTACATTATGATATCTAGAAGTCATAAGCATACCGTCTTTTGTAAATGTATTCTTACTTTTTAAGTGACTGCAAATAGTGAGTAATTTGAGGTGATAGGATGAATACCTCCAAACGCTTTCGTGAAGATTAGGATAAATAAAATAAAATAAATAATAATAATAAAAAATAAAAAAATAAAAAATAAAAATTCATTTCTTTTCGACTAGGAGACGATTCTTTTACCAAGCAGGTCCCCAAGTGTCCGCTTTTACTATGAAATTCAAAGATAACTTTAAGTTGCTCGGTAAGGTAGTAGCTAAGGGTGACTACCTTCAGCGGAAACCACTTTAAGGTAACTACGTAGCTTTAGGTAATGCGTCATAGAAGCAGCGTAGGTTAATTGTGTCCAAATATATTAAACGTTGTATAACTGGTCAAATCGTAGCTCTTACATACTAGTTAGTCTTATAAATAATGAATGCACCGTGCAAACGTTTACTTTGATTTGCATACCTAGCTCATTAGCATTATACCTGCATGTGGTATACATTTAAGGCTGATACGCTGTGTGATGAGTTCTGCGAAACACGGTTGTATCATGATTAAAGCAAGAAAAACAGGTCAAGTATAGGTAAGATGCACGGACGGACAAATTGTAAGAGGAGAGGATGAGTTAGGCTCGAGTGCCTTAACTTCTTAATGTGAAAAGTCAGACGAAATATTACTTCAGAAATCGCTTAGACACCGGAAGACCAGGAGTGGCCAAAAGAAAGAATTAATCCAAGATGCCTAAGGTCGGACACGATTTCTATACCACTAGAAAATTATACAACGGTAATGGGAATTAACAGCCTAATTTAAGTAACTTTTACATCAAAAACCGAAATTAACTGCCGCATATTTGGAAAGATTTAGTTAAAGGCAGTTAGGAGAAGACCATTTGCTAACTCCTTAGAGAAAGCTGTTATCAACCATGACACGTAAACCGTTAATGCCCAGCTCTTGCTGAGCTCGGGCTCACGCTATTCCTTGAAGTTTCTCAGAAACGCTAAGTAATAACGGACGCAAAACCAAAACACCAATTGTTGACTTGAGGATTCTGTATTGTTACACCAACCTATAAATACTGATATAACTAAGATCTGTGAACAAATATTACAATAATAAATTACAATATTACTTCTGACGATGTTTTAATCTTCTTTCTGAACAGCGACCGATGAGACGATGACTGTCATATTGATGCCTCCGCGAAAATTGGGGAAGTTGGTTTTGAGCAAACAACCAAGAATTGATCGTTCAATCTTCAACTACATTGACACTCCCCGGCAAAAAAGGGATCCAACCCTTTTTTCCTTCACGACCAATGCACGTTGACTTGGATGCCATTGCG